TATTCCGTATAACATGTAGGCCATTTAATTCAATCCTTATCTTTTTATATTAAAGGTGATTCCCTTAAAAAATACGAAGCGGGACAGATCTGCGCAGTCCATAGTTCCGATGGCAACTGGTACAGAGCCAGAATCTCTGGAAAAGACTCAAAGTCAGCACGCACCGAGGTATTTTACCTCGATTACGGCAACACGGAGGAAGTGAAGCGTGACGATATAAAGGCACTGGACAACAAGTTCTTTGAGAATGCGAGCGGATTCGCAGTAGAAATCAATTTGCCGTTTGGACGTCCCAGTAATGAATCCAAATTACAGGCGCGTCTGGCTGAGATTCTAGAAGAGAAGGTGGTAACAGTTAAATCAATTGAGGTGCGACGAAATCACCTCATTGCCGATGTTTTTATGGAAAACAATCAGAGTGTGACAGAACTGCTCAAGGCAGAGAAACTTATCCCCGGACAGGATCTAGATTATATGCGCAAGCAAATGGAGAAGGGAAAGTCTCGCACTTACGAGTTCATTGAAATGGTGGACCTCACCTTAGATGATGAGGACGATAAGGGGCGCAAGGAAGCCGGTAGTAACATTAAGACCAGCTCGGCAAATGCCTCACCCAAGAAAAAACAACATAATGACAAAGAACGGGAGCCAAAGAAAAGCAAGCCAGTAGAGCCGACACCTTCTCCTGCCGTTCCGTCGATTCCAATTAAAGCTCCTACGCCGGTTCCTGTAGAACCAACACCAGTGCCAAAACCAGCCACTCCAGTTCCAATGGCTGTGGAAGAACCAGAAGCTAAGTCAGTTGTCGAAGAGCCTGCTCCTGAGCCAGCAAAGCCTCCAAAGGAGGATCCTTACAAAGATATGGACAGCGTGGTGCTAAGCCATTGCGATAATCCAGCACACTTCTTTGTTCATCCCATCGATCAGCTGGAAAAATTGCATCGTCTGCAGGAAAACCTTCAGATTGTATCTCCCTCGTTGCCTCAATTGATGAATGTGGTAAATGGAGCTGACTGCATTTCACTATACTCGGTAGATAAGTGCTGGTATCGCGCTAAGATCATTGATGCCGAACTGATGGTGCTACTGTTTATCGACTTTGGCAACACGGATTGCGTATCGGACACTACTGACATTAAAGAGAGCATGTGGTCGCACATCGAGCCTTTCTGCTTGCCCTGTGCACTCCCTATTTGCCCCAAAGGTACTGCTGATTGGGTCGATGCAGCGAATGGCCTCTTCAACGAATCATATACAAAGATCCTGCATTTCGAGTACCTTACCCAAGGGGATCACCACACGACGAGCTATGTGAATGTGTTTATCGAGGGCGAGGATGTGGCCAAGAAATTGATTGCCGATGGTTTTGCTAGGCCCCTGGAGTACGTGAGCAGTGGATGCAGTTGCTATATCTCACATGTGAACGGAATTTGTGACTTCTTTATTCAACTGGAACGAGATTCAAAAGCGCTTGAGCTGATTGAGATGTATTTGCGCGACGAGGAGAAACTGAAGCCGTTGGAGCGGTTCGAAAAAGGTTCCATTGTGGCGGCTCTCTTTGAGGACGATGAGCTGTGGTACCGAGCCCAGTTGCTAAAACAGTTACCTGACTCCCGATATGAAGTGCTCTTCATTGACTACGGCAACACCTCCACCACATCAAAGTGTCTGCTGCTTTCCGAGGAGATTGCTAGCTTACCTAGCTTATCCAAGAAATGCTCACTGCAGTTGCCGGAGGCTTACATTTCTTGGTCACCAGAGGCGGAGACTAAATTCACGGAGCTGACCGGAGAGGGTGAGCTGGTGTTCACCACACAGCTTATAAAGCCAGGCCAGGATCATGTCACTATTGATCTCCTGTTAGATGGGGAAAACATTATTGACCGTCTGCTTCCTTTGTGCCAGTCAAAGGAACCTAAGGAAGCCAGCAAGGAGACGCTGACAGTCACTACCAAAGCCATCATAACACACGTGGAGAATACCTCCCATATGTACCTACAGTTTAGCGAGAAGGATTCGTTGATGGATATTATTTGTGAGAAGCTGAATGGGACTAAGCTGCAACTCAAGAAGGAAAAGGGCACGGTGGATGAGTTGTGCGTGACTCAATTTTCCGACGACATGGAGTTCTATCGCTCTCGCATTCTGGAAGTGCTCAAAGATGACCAATACAAAGTAATTTTGGTTGATTATGGCAACACGATAGTGGCGGACAAGCTGTACGAGTTGCCTCAGGAGTTTACACTCATCAAACCTGTTGCTGAGATCTGTAGCCTGGAACCCTGCGCTGAATTTAAAAAAAATAAGGCCTTAGCTTTGGCAACACTTGACGCGCTGCTGGACAGCTGCCATGGTGTTGTGGCGGTGGAGTTTATAGACAAGACAGCCAGTCCGCCAATAGTCAGACTAACAACCAAGGATAAGAGGAATCTAAACATCTATGAGCAGCTTCAAAAGCTTATCGAAGCGGAGTTAAAAGTAATTCAAAAGAGAAACGAGAACTCTGAATGTGTCATTTCGCATGGCAACTCACCAAAGAGTTTCTATGTTCAATTGAAGCACAATTCGGGAGATTTGGATTTGATTGTAAAGACACTGCAGTCCCTGAACAAGGATGTACTGAAGATATTTAACGTCCCGAGCAAGAATTCAAAGGCTGTGTGCTACTCCCAGGAGGATGCCTGTTACTATCGCTGCATCATTAAATCTGTTTTGGAGGAGGGCAAGGGCTTTGAAACCTTTTTGTTGGACTATGGGAACACCCTGACCGTTTCGGAGGTCTGGGAGTTACCTCAGGAAATAGAGCCGATTTCCCACCTGGCCTTGCACTGCCAGCTGAGTGAGATCCCAAAAGATGTGCCTGATGCAAAGCTAGAGGAAGCCTTTGCCGCTCTACTGGAGCAACATTTCGGGGAAGTGTACGAAATAACCACTCAGCCGAATGAGGATGAAACGAAACCTCTTTCCGCTCAACTCCGTATCAACTATAAAGACTTCGCCCAGGAGCTGGCCAGCACAGTGGCCGGCGTACAAAAACCGCTCGAAGCTGAGCTGCACAACTGCGTCGTGGTGCAGTACGATGATCCGCGGTCCTTTTACGTGCAGATGGAGAGTGATGTCCCCGCGTTAGAGAAGATGACTGATAAGCTCCTGGATGCAGAGCAGGATTTGCCCGTATTTAGCGATCTTCAAGAAGGAGCTCTGTGCGTCGCCCAGTTCCCAGAAGACGAGGTCTTCTACCGCGCCCAGATTGTCAAGGTTTTGAACGAGGGCAAGTGCGAGGTGCACTTTATTGACTTTGGTAACAACGCTGTGACCCAGCAGTTCCGCCAGCTTCCAGAGGAGCTAGCCAAACCGGAGCGGTACAGCAAACACTGCGAGCTGGAGGCGGCCACAATGGCCAAGTGCGATGTGGCCTTGCTGCAGACATTTATTGACGAGCGTTTCTCCGAGACATTCCAGGTGGAGATTCTGGCCACCAAGGGAGCTGCCACCCATGTCGTGCGGCTCTTTTACCAGAGCAAGAACATCAGCGAGAAGCTGCGCCTGCAGGAGAAGTAGTCACAGATCGGAGGGCTTGCAATTCATATATGCTCCATGCAGGAGATTGTGATTAGTTTGGCTAAAATATGCGATGTATTATCTATTTAGTTGAACGAGTTTAACTTATTCAAATGGAGGAGGAAACCTCACGATTTTGATTAGCCAAGATGCTTCATTGATTTTTCATGGAAAACCAAAATGAATGCTAATTTTATTATTAATTAATGAATCAATACGGAAAACACAACAACATTATCACCAAAAACACAACAAAACGAAAAAAATCGAACAAAAAAAACGAAAAAAACATTTAGAAAATGTAAAAAAACAAACGAAAAATATTAAAAAACAACAAAAAAATTGTGAAATCTAGATAAAATTGGCACTAACCAGTTAATGTTAGTAGCTAAAAAGGCGAAGGACGATTTATATAGTTGCTCAACTTTGTGTAAAACAATTTTACATCATCAACGAACGTTGGCGAATTGAAGAGAAATGGAGGGAATATTGAACCTCCAGACGAAAAATTATTTATTTTCCCTTTATAACTTAATTTTTACTTTCTTTTCTCGATTAACCAACTGAAGAATCACTTATTTGTTTTTCATTTTTTACTTTTCATTATCTAAACAAACAAAAAACATTGCAAAGCGAAGACTAAAAGAAATGTAAGCAAACTAATGGAATATGGGTTTATGTATTAAAACCTTTAATAATCACAATGTCATATTTTTCTACCATTTCTTTTTCATGTTGTGAACAAAATATTAAAAACAAACCAATAAATACGATGAAAAGTAAAGCCATTTAGAGCGAATATTATTACCTGGTGTCTTACCTGGAGTTGCAGACCTGGTGCCAGGTAGCAATTAGCGGTCGTCACTCGGGGAATTATGGGTTTATGGTGGTTTAAAACTTCCACTCAGTACGGAAAAGTGTGGAACGGACAGGGCTCATGTCCACACATGAAGAGATTCTCTCTCTGTCAGGGAGTCGAACCATCTGATAAGAAGGGAATTAAGGCATCTGCCCACATTTACGACATGGGTTAAGCTCTCATTTCTGGGTATCATGGTATCATTCATCATTTTGCTAGTCGACGTATCATTCATACGCAGTTACACTTGTATTCCAGCTGGCGTGGATGCTTCATTAGGAAACCCTCCTCTCCGCGGATCGATTTTGATTATCATTTATTTGCTAATTGAATGAGTGGCCGGCAAAATCAGAAATATCCACATTCGAGCTGTCAAAACCCCCAAAACATTTCAATTTCCAGCGACAGAGTGTATTAGTTTCCATTGCCGTTATCATAGAGAAGCTAGAGCGTTATTCTCTCTCCCGAATTTTCCCTTTCAGTTTTCCCACTGCAGCAGTGTCATCTGTGAGTGTGCGTCTGCTTTATCAGAGTTTTTCGGTGTGAGTGCTCGGCGATCGTCGGAGTCCGAAAGGCCCAAAACTGAACCGATCGTTTCAATTCTACGTCTGCGGTTGAATTGAACGGTTCCGGCTAACGTACACGCTCCGTAACGGTCGCTCTTTCACTCTCCGGAGTAAATTAATTTTTTTAAACTAATTATAGTTAAATATTTGAAGAATAAATATTAAAGTGTTTTTAAAAATACAACCGAAGCATAAAATATTTAAAAAGTGTATACCAGAAATATAGTGAAGTGTGTGTAGTGAAATAACAATCGACACTGCCTATGGATTATCTTCGCCGACTTTAAATGGGATTATACCTGAATACTTGAAATTACCAAGCGGTAAGCTGATAGCAAAATCTTGTTCGAAACGTTTTCGTTTGTTGTTTTTGACTCATAGTACGGGGTCTGGTTGGGTTATCATCAATAGTGGGACCACATAATACTACGACTAGATTGCACAACGCCTGCACTCGTTATATTAAGTTTTCTAATCAGGAAACTTAGCATTGAAACGAGCCCCATTCCCGGATTTTTGTCGAGCTGAATGTACATAAGTGTCCGTATCCAAAAGCGTCTCTACGACAGCATAATGCGATAGAATCCAAGTTAAATTGATTTCAATTAGGGGAGGCAGCACAACGGCAATTGGAGGCATCTGTGTGTACCGTACATATCTTCCAGATAAAATAACAGTCACATTATATACTTGATGTGTATATCTGGAAAAAAGGCATGGGTGTTTATTTAGTAATTAACTTTTGTAGAGGAACACCTGCTTATCAAGAGGGAGACTAATCTTTAGAACGGGGTTCTAGAAGAAGAAACAATGGTCTCAAGGAAAAAACGTGATGAACAAAGTAAAGCTATACAAAATGTCAGATTGAAATATAATATTTCCAATGATCGTTGGTTATTTATCAAATAGTTCCTCAGATATTCAAAGTTCTGGCATAAATAAACATTATTTCTTTAGGGTCATAATCACTCGATATCGACTGGTATTCCGATATTACAGAGTCTTGGCTGGTAACTGTAGCTCGATGAGATTCTTTTGTTTTTTCCTTTTTTTTATTCTCGTGAAAATATTTTCTTGATTGTGTTTAATTGAAATAAATGAACAACGCTTTTTTATGCTACAGCATTCTTTACGGGGCTGTTGTTATTGTACTTTCAATTAATTTTTTTTGTTCTTTTCTTCGATGTTATAATTTTGAAAGAACGTTACGACGGAAATGGGAACAAACCCGATAAGAGCACTTGACGTACTTTGATAAGCTTCGGTTTTTAAGAAAATGTGATTATACTCAATGACATTTTTAGGAACCATGACGGTAACCGAGATCGGGCGACACAGAGGTAAAAGTTCTCTCAAGCGATGTTTCATCACAGTATCAGAGAAAAGTCCAAACAAATAAATCTTTATCGTACTGGCGAGAAACGTGCATAAATCTTGGGGCCCTCCAGCTCACCCACCTGTTGAGGGACGGCAAGGAGGGGGGGACCTAGACGAAAGATATATGTTGATCATGCACGGGTATACCCGATAATATATGCATCTTTTGCGACGCCCACAATGTGTGACAGGAACTATCACAAGAGCACATAAATCCATTCACAAATGTTTAGAATGTTATTAAAATATTTGATACTAATTTCGACTTTTTTTATGCCACCCATTTTTTAGGGGATTTTCGATTCCATGTTGCGTTTTGTTATCCCCATAATCGCTTGGCCCGGAGAACAGATAAATAATCCCTCGTCGTCATATTTATCATATCGGGCAGGCTGCAATGCGTTGGTCGACAGGCACAGTCGGAACCCGAGAGGTGGGAGTTTCGCCTTGGACCGTTCCGATCCGTAACCCATTTCTGCCACCCCATTCGCATTTCCCATTGTTTGTCTGGTCTGCGGCAGCCGCTTGATTGAGCCTAATATATAAATAAATATTGGAACAAATGCGGCCAAAGTGGAAAACATAAATTCTGACCCCTACCAATCCACCTCTAATAGAACAATGTCTAAGGCTAAGGCTGATTCCCCGTCTGATTTGCGGGGCGGGATCGTGATCGGGATCGGGCCAGCTTTTATATACGCAGCCGAGTGGATATTCCATTTGGTGCCAGGCATTAGCCCTTTTTATGGCCAATTTCTCTGAATTCTGAGCCCCTAACAACAATTTGATATTAAAGGCGGAGGGGAAAGAAATAAAATCCAATCAAATCCATAAGTTTGCAGTTGGCCGCAACTGTTTATATCGCCGCCTTGCTCTGGGCGCTGTTTTGGGCTTTTATGCTTAATTTTAATTTAAATATATGAAATATATTTATAGCCTTTGTTGCGGTTGCTGTCAGTCCCAAAAAGTGTGGAAATAGCTTCAATATTTCTTTTGATATTTTTCTGCTTCGTTTTTTCGCTTATTCGACAGGCAGCTCTAATGACAGAGGTGGCCGCACACTGGGTGGCGAAAGTGTGCGCCCGGTTTTGCTCAGTGGAGCTAACTTATTGGCGGCACTGTTTTGGAGAGCACATGTCTCTCAAGTGGAGCGCAACATTTTTTGGTCAAAGGCCAAGACACTTCAGCTAGCAGGAAAATAACAAAAATTAATAAAACGGGGGAATCATGGCGGCTAAATGGGGGCCATGAATCATTACTTTGCTTCTAGTATGACCAACGAATCGTTACTAACTTTATAATTGATTAGCGCTCTTTATTTTCCTTTATAAAAGACCAAGATCTTATCGGCCAACGGCGGTTCAATACGTCTTAATTCCGCCACTTGGCCGGGCTCAAAGTGATTTGCCAATATGTATAGATATCTGAGTGTCGTTCATCATTCATTGGCAAACATTTAAGGTTTGGGTAAATAGAACTTCCCGTTTTTTTGCTGACAGACAATTGATTTCTCGTGAAATTCAGTTTAGTTGGGCAAAACAAAACTTCAGCTGCGACAGCAATTAACCCGAATGTCACAAATGCAAAATTACAATACTCAAGATATTACTCATGAGGTTTGGTTTCCATTTTCATATTTTTCACAAAGCAAAATCACGCAAAGGCAGCTGATACAAAGTTAGGGAAACGTGCAATTTTCTAATTGCCCTTCAATGGGGCGTGACAGAGACATTAACAATGGATTCTGGCCATTTCGGTTTCCCAAATGTGCATTCCGAGTGGGCTTACATGCCCCGATCATGTCAAGATATATGTACTTATGCGAAGGTATAAATCACGTTGTAGAATTCCTATTTCTGGCCCATAATCGATTATTGTTTTCCACTTTTCCATTTTATTTGGCAAATTGAAAAGAATGGTTGTGAATCTGACACATTGCAAAGAGCCATAAAAGCATTCTAATGGAATATTTGTATGATTTATAGCTACCACACTTGTTGTTTGATGTTGAATCAAAAGATATATTCACAAAAACGATAAGATATTGTACAAGGAAACAGACACTAAGCACTTGCTTTCAAGACTCTCCCAAAATGGATCTATCTATAAGGCAGTGACTCAGTTATTTTCGGGCTAGTTGCTTTTATTATTATAGGGCTGCAACTGTTTCCGCCGCAATGCGGAATCATCTTTTGTTGTTGTGCATGAATGCAGCGGGAATGACACTGATTGTGTGTTACGTATACGCAATATGAGCATCGCTCATACGCTGGCCAACAGCTGACCTAGGCTTCGAATTTAAGCTTTGTTTTGGATTCTGCAGCTGTATCTGTATCTGTTTCCATGGGCTAATTTCATTTGCAAGGTGCGGGAGACTCGCTTGATTGAGCGCTTTTAGTTTTGGATTCGGATTCACCCCTAAAACCAACCCAGACCCAGACCCCTAGCGATCGGCAATGATCTTGTAAATTGTTAATTCGAAAATAAACGCTTTGACGCGCCCATGAGCGATTGTTCGCATCAATTTATTGTTCTTGTTTCAATCAACAAAATAAACAAGTTAGCGCCAAAGTTTCGATGGGTCAGTTCTATATATGTATCAATTTATTTTGGCAGAGCATGGAACTGCATTGGCAGCTGCTGACGTTCATCGTGTGTCTCCAAAGTCTGCGTTCCGCCGGATTTCTCCAGCAGGAAGAGCGCAAGTGCAATTACGGCCGAATCGCGAAGCTGATGCGCATAAAATGCTACGATATGGACCTCAAGGAGGTGCCCCAGAACCTCAAGACCTCGGTGGAGGTGAGTAACGATCGCGGGGTCAGACGGTCACATCGTCATCGGCCCCTCGCTGTAGTTAGCCCCAATTGAGCTTAATTAAAGAATAAAGAAGTTGCCCACAAACATAATTTTATCCATTACATGGATACACATATGTACGCTATATACGCCGTGTATGGGAACCCTACCCATTCATAACTCTCAACTGTCATTTAATGATCAGACAATTCGTTGGCAATTTTTGTAGGTTCTGGATCTATCGCACAATCGCATCAAGAAGCTGAAAAGTGGCTCGTTTCAAAAGTACACAGACATTCAGTTCCTGATGCTCTTTGAAAACATGATCTTATCAGTGGAGCCGGGAACTTTTGAGCCACTTACTTCGCTCCAGGTAACAACGACATCCAATTAATCAGCGACTATGTCTTTAATTAATTTTCTAATCGACATTCCCAGGAAATAGATCTTTCGAACAATGGACTTACAACGATTCCGTTGGAGTTGTTTCAGCTGCCCCGACTGAGAAACCTCTATATAGACAGCAACGAACTGACATCATTAAATCTCCAGGCGCTGGAGAAGCCCATCCGGGCGCCACTGGAGTACCTCAACATTGCATCTTGCGAACTGCAGGAGTTGCCCGACCTGGGGATACTGCCCAGTAAGTAAACGGCTTTGAAATATTAGAAAATTGCTAAACTTAAATAAATGTCTTGTTGATTTAGGTAATATCTAAAGAAATAAACCAAATTTAACTTAGTACTAATAATTAATTTACCTTGTCTTTTAATAGTTTCTCAAAAAGATAAAAGATCTGATACCATAAAAAGTAAGAATTGTCTCGATTTTCCTTTTTTTCTTTTGTGTCAGTTATAGTAAAAAATATAAATGAGTTAAGGACCTTAAAATTCTTTTCTCTTATAAATTGTGTTCTAGTATTTTTCTTCTTCAAAAAACATTTATAATTTTATAATTACCCGAGTTATGCGATATTTGTTAATATTTTTGAAATTTTGGAATAAATGACAATGCTAATATTCTTTGAACCCACGCATTCATTTATAGAGCTCTGGCAACTGAATGCCTCGATGAACCCGCTGCAGGACTTCAAGATTGACAGCCTGGCGAACCTGTGCCATCTGCAGGTCATCGATCTGACCAAGTCGCGGCTCAGCCAGTGTGGCTGCCAGCAGGTCACCAACCATCTCATGATGCTCGGCGCCAGTCCGAGGTTCGTGCCCGTTTGCATGGGTAAGTTATGGCGATGGAGGCGATGCAGTCGGAGCAGCTGCTAATTTTGGCACATGACCAACTTGCAATTCCATTTTCAGAGGCGCTCGACATCCGCGAATGTCCACTGCCCTACAATCAGACGATCCACTCGGCGACATTCGCCAGTTGCCAGACAACTGTGGAGCTGGCCGAAACGCGCAGCTTGTGGCTCCTGGTCGCTGGCTGTTTTGGAGGCGCTTGTATTGCGCTTATGAGTGAGTATTGACTGGTATATCAATTTAAACAAGACAGAATCTGAACTTTGCTAAGCCGAAATTTATATACTCCTGCAGCTATAAGAAAAATGTATTTTTAAATAGCACTTCTTTCCATTCCTTTTTGATTTTTTGATAAATGTGTACATGTTACTCAAAAACTGAATTTACAAGATTGGCCGATGGGTTGTAAGGCTGCTATATGATAAAGTTATATAATTAAAAATGTATTTTATACGTCTAAAAACAAGTGGTTATCCCGATTTGACTTCAAATTTTTTAAAACTAACAGGCTAGTTTGCGTAGAAACGGTTCTACGGACATTACTATATTGACTCGGCTTTTGCTCCTGATTAGGAATATACATATATACTTTTTATTGTCGGAAATGTCTCTTTCGCTGTATTGCAAGCGATGCAAAAAAAGATGCAAAATGATCAGTACAAACAATGAATGTTAAAATTGTATATTTGTTTTATGTATTTCCACAGTAATCATCTTCTGGGTGATACATTGCCGCAGAAAACGAACCCAAAGACGCATGAGAAATGTCCAGAAGCGAAAGCCTTTTGTGATCTCGCCCAAAAACGCCATTAACAACCGTCATCCGGAGGACGAGCCTCTGCACTGTGATACTGCCCGAAAATAGCTTTAGTTAGTTATTTAGTTACTTAGTTAGTTGTAATGGCCAGTTATTTATTACCTTTGTCGCCTTAGTTTAGAATTAGGACAACCGTCTACCTAGCGAATCGAAACACTTACCAAAAACCACCAAAACTAAAACACCACGCAATCAAAGAGAAATGTCTTGCTCAAATGCCACCGGTTATTTGCTTCGTTAATATATAAGTTAGTTAGTCTACAAAGAAATCGACTATTTATAACGAACAACAATAAAAATTAATTAAAAGAAAGAAACATTTTTAATTTTTTAGTTTGGAATTTTCACAACTGAAAATGGTCTAGATGGAAAGCTCAGAAAGAAAGTTTACATTTGAGTTTCCCGCCTATTTAAACAGTGATGTTAAGGTATAATATTATGTTCTTTAATTTTTTGCAGCACTACTTTTATGGGCGCGCTATTTGAATTGACAGATACATCGTGTTTTACCTCTAAGCCTTATTATAGTTATACACATGAATCAAGGCTAAATATTCTTTGAAAGTTTTCATTTTTATCTACATTAAGTCATTACATAATATCAATCTATTAAATTTAATCAATTAATTAAATTAGATTTTCTAATCGAATGCAGGTATTTAAATTTAAAATTAAATTTTTCTTACAAACACTTTTTACAGTGTTAGATCTTTACTAACGCTTTAAAGTAGACAAACAACTTTGAAGAACTCTTAAAGGTGGTGTTTTGGTCATGACAGCCAAAAAGTATGCAATACCTTTAAAGAAAAAAGGTGTCTTCTATGTATGGATGAACAAGTGCACTGACGATTATAGTTTTATTTAAAAAAAAAATTAATTATTAAAAATCCCAACAGTTTTTTTTTTATTTATTTCTATTGATTTTTTGTAATAGTTTTTTTAGCTCGCTATATTTTGGCAGAACTGTCAACTCTATCATACAGCTCTCTTAGTATACTCTCTTTGTTTTTACGTACTCTTTAGCACTCTTACCACCACTAATCAAAGTTCGCTTTTGATGTGACTTTCGCACCTTTTGCGCTCTCTCTCTGCCTCTCTCTTTTTTACGTTTATAGCCGGTCCAGCGCTAGCCGGCAAGTGAAGAAGAAATGAAATATAAGTAAGCGGAATGCAAAATACTTTTCTTTGGCGCCTTCCTGCTCACAAACACGGTCGCAGTTTTATATAAAACCAGAATGAACGCTACACTCTAATATCCCTGTTTCCCGAATGAGTGTTACCCACTACTCACCTTTCTATTTTTAAATTGGTTTATATTTTTGTAATCTTACACTTTTTATAAAAACGAATAAAAAAACATATTTTTGTTAATTTATTAAAGGTTGCCTTTTGCTCCGTTGTTAATTGGGTTTCGATTGGTCAGAAGTGTTAAATTTAATCAACTGTTTAGATGGTGTTCATGTTGTTTTATATTTATCTTTTTTACATTTGTTGCGCGAATACAAAATACCCTTTTTATTGTACGAGTAGCGGGTATAATAAATCTCCCACCGGCTTTTTTTGTGGTGGCCAAAGACGTCGACTTCGACGTCGACTGCGCTGCCCGTGTCTCTGCATTGGCATTTAGGCATTTATGCCCACGGCAGTCAAACGGTCGCTTCAGATTCTCGTCATCGCTCGTGGAAGGCGCATCGCAAAACGCCGCTCTCGTTCTCGAATTTAGTGTGAAAGCTCAGCCACCCACCGTCAACCGCCCGCCGGAAAAACCTCGCGAGTGCCCAAATCGAGTTTACCCAAATAAAAAAACCCACAGTTAATCCATAAAATCCTTTCAAAATGAGCAGTAAGTTGGGCGACATCGAAATCCAAAGCAAATGCAAGAAACGAAAAAAAAAGCAAAGCAAGAAGAGAGTGTGTGTGTGTATGCATGGCTAAAGGCTGGAAACTGAAAACTGAAAATCGAAAGAAAAGCCTGCCCTAAGTTAAAGCTCCTTTGGCGTTTCCTGCTAATCAACCAACCAATCGCCATCCCTCCCATTTCATAACACTCGCTTCTGGGAGGAGTTATGCAAAATCGAAATCAAAATCCGAATCAAAATCATAGCGATAATCGCATTACTATAATATATTTATAAATCGAGCATAGAGCGGCGACAGCAGTGTGTGGCGACGACCTTAACTGACCTTCACTAGCATTTGCTCTGCCCACAGCCCCTCACCACCCCCCGTTTCTCCGCTCTCACGGCCGTAAGAGTGTAGGAAAACATTTAAAAAATAAAACCATTGCATTGGGACTGAACTGACTGCCTCTGGGTGCCAGGCATATTTGTTTGTTTATGAAAAGTTTGTGCACAAAATGCTGATAACGTGAAGCTCACATAACCTTCAAAGAGCGGGGAGAGCTCCGAAGAGATTGATAGAGCTTTTCTTAATGTTATGTTGAGAGAGCCTCGATTTGTTGTGATTTAACAGCATGGGTTTTGCGCTTTGTACCTGTCGTCGGATTCCGGTGACCCAGTAATACAACGTAGCGCCATTAGCGGCACTATCTGTCCGCCTTATCAGTGTTGTGCCTTCCGCATCTGCAGCTCATTGAGATTAGCAGCTCATTAAGGGATGCACTTCGCCTTGGCATTTTCACACGCGTTCGCTGACGTCCGGCGATCATGTTTGAAGCACCTTCCACATATTATTCACCCTCTATATGTATACCCCATAGATGATTTTCTATTTTTAAGTTCCGCCTATATGTATGGGTTGGAATTATGGCTGGCGACAGGCGCTAACAAGTTTTGTGTGTTCGAAAATAACATTATTTTTTCAAAAAGTTTTCCACGCCCGAGAACATTCTTTTGTGTCGCATCGCCCACTAAAAATCTTTTCTTTCCTTGAAAAATCCATTAAATCTGCACGGATTTATGCCCGCATTCATCATCAACCTACGGCAGCTGCCTTCAATTTTCAGCCCGCAGGGATTTCCAGTATCTCGCGTTTCGGTCACCCCCCGTTCTCTGTGGTGATTCAATTTCTAAAATTGCTGCGTTGCCTGTACCGACCCAATGCATCGCCTACCAGCAGACACAATCTCATTTCATTTCACATCGGCGGGGCTATTTTTAGTGGCCTGCTCTTTCGGATACAGAATCGGAATCTACAAGATACACACTGCCTGCTGAGGTTTCCCGCAGAACTTGTTCCACGCCTTGCACTCGCCAATTTGTGCGTTGGTGTCGCCAACGTACCCCGATCTCCCCCCGATCACCACTCCCTTTGGCATATCCCATTATGCATTTTCGCCTTGTACAGTCCAACTCGGGTAACTCAAACTTACAAAAGTCACATTTTTGACAGTTTACCGTACCATATAAACCTTTACATATTTAGATCACAGGACAATATTTCTTATAAATATTCAATAAATACATTTCGTCTTATGAGTACTGATTACTAACTTTAAAGCCACATTTCGAAGAGCTGTAGTAGATTGATAGAAGATATTTATTTTATAGTTTTAAAAGACTTACAGAAATATTTTGATTTAATGTTTTCTTCGAACCATTTAAATGAAAAATTTATTTTAAATTCGAACTTTTTTTTGGTGCCAGAAAGAAATTCAATAGAAATCCGATCAATGAAAAAACACCTTTAAAGTAACATTATCTCTACTTTAAATGTATTTGATTGTGACTCAAATCTTAAACCTCATTTATAGACCATTTGTTCTATGGCTAGGCGTAGAAAATATGATTTCGTTAACCAAATTTGACTGTACTTGTATTCATATGTGCCGGCTGCAAATTATCGCGGTGCTTTAATGGGGACCCTGACAAACGGGTTTTGGGAGGGCACGGGATGACTTCCTCAAGGTCTCGGCTTCCCCATTCATCTAATTGGTGACCCCATTTATGGCGGTGTCTGGCGTTAATCTGATCTGGGCCTCATCACGCTCCAGCGGGCATTTGCTCAGTCACTTGACCCAGACCCAAAAACTTTACCTAACCCACGACCTCCAACCCTTTTACACACTCGCTTTGGCGGGCCGCTTTATCAGCTTTATTGTGCTCCGGGTATACGCAATTGATAAAAGCGGGGTGGAACAAACCACGGCGAAAACTCTGCGCAAGGAAGAGAGTGTCTAAGAGAGAGCTTTCCTTCGCAGAGAGTGGCTCATAGTTTGCTCTTCTACACTGGCAAAAAATTAAGAATTTTCCCACAATTAGCTGTCACATAAATTGCTAATTTACTTATATTTAAGTTTACGTGCTAAGCATATGTTTAAGAAAAATGTCGCGACGCATTCATTTTGACAATTTCAACAGTTGTTGAAACGGTATTTTTAGACCGAGTGTTGTTTATTTTATTTTGTTTAAATCGCCAAATTTATGACGCCTGCTGAAATTCTTTTTGATCGTTCTCCCCCATAAGTTTTATTGTTTTGTGAAATTTGTTGTCATTTTTGCACACATCCGGTAAGTCAGAAGTTATTAAGATCCATTCTAGTTTCGCCGAAAGTAAATGATTTCATTTTTATTTTAGGCTCCACGAATCATTTCACAAGCACAGTCGCAAATATAAAAGAAAGCATCTGTGTATCTTTCACCCGCACACACAAACAAAAAACACAGACACACTCACACATACATTAAAGAATCCGGCGGAGGATAAAGATCAATTCAAATCAAGATCAGGCTAGCGAATGCATTTGAATGGCGCTGATTAGCTCGCTGTGCAGCAGTTAACCATCCGTATCCGTATCTGTGTCCACATCCGTATCTGAACGCGAGAAGGTAGTTGTTGTTATCCACCTACTTGTTGTATCCTACGCTTCACAGTTCCTTTTCAGTTCGCTTCTCTAAAACCAAACAACATGTATACAGACCTCTAATCTGACATTTAACCCGACTAAAGTTAGCTCAACGAAATGTACTAAGAATATATACACACACTTGTATATCTATATATTTTCTATCGATTCGTAGCATTAATACCCGAATAATAATGTTCTAAATTCCATTTACTTGTCAATAATCAAAATTGGAAATAAAAAATAATCGTATGTTTTCTCTATTTTAACTCTAATGAATTTTTAATTTTCAACACAGCAAGACTGCATGGTTTAACAATTTATAAATACTACCAAGAACGGGGAGAGAATTTCGAGGAAATTCACTTGTAAATTGTGTACCATACAGATTCCAACCTAATCTAGACAAAACTAATTCCCCATAGTGTGAGAAATGTGCACCGAAAAAAAAGCTCATAATCGCCCCATAAACATGTGTATATACGTCCTATATTAGGATATGCCAACGCCACGAATAATTATCTATAGCTTTCGCCCAACTAAATGCCAACTACGCAAAATTCTAATTGCTCGTTTGGACGCGCCTGAAATATGCTCTGCTCGATTTTGCCAATTCTTTATGATTTTTTTGCAATTTTTCCGCTCTAACAAAGCAAATGAAAATTGGATGCATGTGGGCGCCGCGTGCCACGCCCACTGCTGACGCAGTTGGAGATCTGCACACACCACTTGTACATACATACATACATACATAACATATATCTGTTCTATTTCGAATGGGGAACCCGAAAAAGCGCTTGTTTATTTATAATCCATAACCATTTTTTGCTGATTCCGAAACTAATAAATACAGAGCGAATTCCCAGCCAGCTGCTGCAGTGAAACGTGCAATGTAACAATGGCTTTTGAATTGTAACCCAATTCGTATCTGCGTCTGTAGTTTTATCTCCGAGATATCTATTAAGTTTAATTTGCATCTCTATCTCCCCTCTCAAATAGAGTTCGCTTGGGTGACGTTGACGACAAATGACACGTACTCACTGGGTGCCTTGGTCTTGGCCCACTCCCTGAAAAGGTCCAAGACCGCCCACCAGCTGGCCGTCCTGGTCACGCCCACCGTCTCGCAGGCGATGCGCGACAGACTGAAGGAGGTTTACAACGTGGTGCAGGAGGTCAATGTGCTCGACTCACAGGACGCCGCCAATCTGGCGCTGCTCTCCCGCCCCGAGCTGGGCGTGACCTTCACAAAGCTGCATTGCTGGCGCCTCGTTCAGTTCGAGAAGTGCGTTTTCCTGGATGCGGATACACTGGTAAGTTTTGGGGGCAGTAAAACAGTTGTCAATTAAGCCACTCAAAATTGATTTTAGGAAATAAGTACAAACTTACTTTGGTCCTTCTGATCTTAACCCGTTTAGTTTTTAGTGACCCACTTTCACTTTACAAGCACAGAAAAGAACTTGAATCAATGAATAAATATTTATTTCCTTGCCAAGAAGATTAACTAGAAATAATATTCCTCTTATTTTAAATCATTAAACAAAGGCTTGCATGAGCCTCTCAATGTATATGTTCTGACCATAATACCTTTCTATAATATAAAATTTTAACTCTCTGTCGCTTATAAAACGTTAAATAATTACCTGTATCTCTATTTGATTTTTTATTGAGACAAATGATATGATGAGATGAAATAACATCATATTAACGTTTTGAGACTTCAAATATTAGTCGAATTTAAAATCAATATATAACAGATCAGAAATCGAAACATGCGTTTATTGACAATTATAATTGCAATTATTGCACAAAACTTGAACTTGTTTTTTCCCTGGACTGTGATTTCTATTTTCAAATAACCGTCTATCTCGTCGCATTTTTTTTGAGACATTTCATATGTTGAGATAAAATAACAACAATTTAACATTTTGATACTTTAAATATTACAATTGCTATTATAAACTAAATTTAAATTAAACAAGAAAGGAAAGCTAACTTCGGGCGGAGCCGAAGTTGATATACCCTTGCAGAATACTCTATAATTATATTCTCCAAAATTATTCCTATGATGCATTCTTAATACTCATAAAAAATCCAAACTTCCTAACTTTAAAAACACCAAAGTTATGGCATTTCGAATCGTTCAGTTATATGGCAGCTATAGGATATAGTCGGCCGATCCTTATGAAATTTGGTAGGTCGGATTGATTGGCCAAATATAAAACCCATAGAAAATCCCAACTTTCTAACTTTACAAACACCAAAGTTATGGCATTTCCGATCAATCAGTTATATGGCAGCTATAGGATATAGTCGACCGATCCCGGCCGTTCCGACTTATATACTGCGTGCAAAGGAAAGAAGGCTGTGTGCAAAGTTTCAACTCGATAGCTTTAAAACTGAGAGACTAGTTTGCGTAGAAACAGACAGACGGACAGACGGACAGACAGACGGACATGGCTATATCAACTCAGGAGGTGATCCTGATCAAGAATATATATACTTTATAGGGTCGGAGATGCCTCCTTCACTGCGTTGCACACTTTTGACCAAAATTATAATACCCTCTGCAAGGGTATAAAAATAGTCGGTAATCACAGATAAAAATGTTCTGAAGATCGTGGGCAGTATTAGGGATCTAACTCACTTTATGTGTATTAGAAAATATGATTTTGATAAAAGGAAAATGATTTTTAAGCATTTTTATTATTATATATTATAAAATTATTATAAAATCTCTAACCCAATAACCTATATCCTGTTTTGTAGGTTTTGCAAAACTGCGACGAGCTGTTTGAGCGCGAGGAACTGTCGGCTGCTCCGGATGTGAGCTGGCCGGACTGCTTCAACTCCGGCGTGTTTGTGTTCAGACCCAGCGTGGACACCTTCACCCAGATCACAGAGTTCGCCGTGAAGAACGGCAGCTTCGATGGCGGCGACCAGGGGCTGCTGAACCAGTTCTTTGCCGACTGGGCGACGGCGGACATCAAGAAGCATTTGCCATTTGTTTACAATGTGACGGCCTATGCCTCGTACTGCTATCTGCCCGCATTCAAACAGTGAGTTCGCTATCTTTGATGGCCGGGCCACAGTTTGTAAAATTCTTTGGCTTACAGGTTCAGAGATAAGATAAAGATTTTGCATTTCGCCGGCAAGCTGAAGCCCTGGCTGATTCAGTTCAACTCCGAGACAAAGGTGGCCAGCGTTTCGTCGGACTATGCCCATGCCCAGGATCTGATTCAGCTGTGGTGGAACATCTTCTGCGAAAACGTGATCCAGTCCCTGTCCACCGAAATGGTAAGTGCCCTCAGTAGGCTACTTGCAACCTGAATCTTCCACCCCTTGACGATTTACAGCTTATTTTTGCCCCCCTACAATCAGACTGAACTCTTATGTCCCCTGTTTTTGAACGCCATACTAAAGCTAACCAAAGAATTTTATTGTTTAACCCAATGTATTTGCTCCCAAAACCCCTGCTTCGTTTCTTAACCCGCTAATCGCAAGCAAACGCCAGGAACAGTTGCTAGTGATCGGCCCGAGGGAGCGATAGCCCACGGGCCCAGTACAGAGGTAAGCAGATCTCCAATTGCCGAACTATATCGCACCACCAGATCTGTAGAGACCCTGAGCACTCCCCTGTGTAAATATCTTAATTATAACTCAAATATTTATTTATTTATCCATCTTTCTGTGCGCGCCAAGTAAATAACCCAAGCAAACAAACTCAGATTCGATCTATTTGCTATTTCTTGCCGATAGCTGACCTCGATATCGTTTCTTTCTCGCCTCTTCTATCTATTCACTTTAAATGCCTGTTCTTTGACTTCGCTTTCATTATTTTTTGTTTCGGCTTGCAATTTTCTGTTGATTTTTCCTCGATTAGCATCCACGCCCCAGAGTAACCCATTTTTTCTCGTATTTTCTTCTGCTATTTTGGCCCCCAAAGACAGACGGACGGACCGATTCCCAATTGGGTCTCTTTTAATTTATTTCTTTTGTATTTTTTGTAATATTTGTCCAACTGTGTGTGTCTCGTGTGTGTGTGCTCGTCTTAGTGTTCACTTTCTTTCTGTTTTTTTCTAATTTGCATTGATTTGGCCGGGAGCCAGGGAAATGTTTCGGTTTACGCCATCGATAGATGGAAATGATTTAAATCAAGATGGTCGATGGTTGGGGGTGATGCCAGAATCATTAGGTATATATCCCATAACACAAACACACACACACACACACGCTCGCATTCGGGGGTTCTTCTTTTTTGTTACCTTCCACTTTCTCCCTTTTTTTTGTTTGTGCTGTTCGGTTCTTTATTTTTGCAAATTGATTTACTTTTCATTTACTCTTTATTTTCCAACTCTCGCTCTCCTATGTTGCGCATTCTGTAAATTAAAACTTGCCATATAAAATTCGTGGACTGCCGAATCGCATTTGTCGAGCATATAACTCTATCTATCTAACATCGTCTCAGTGCCTTTGCCTAAACCTAATGCACTCGCAAAGCGAATTCGCGGCGGATGAGCAGCATCAGCGGCAGCAGCATGAGTACTACCAGCAGCAGCAGCTGCACCACCAACTGTTGCATGTGCGCCAGTTCCGCGATCCTTGGGCAGATTACTATGAGAATCTGGAGAAGGAGCAGGAGCAGGAGCAGCAGCAGCACCACAATCCCAGCCAGAATCACACCCAGGACAATGGGAATGCGGATGCGACTGTGACTGCGAATGAGAATGCAAATGCAAATGCTAATGAATATGCCACTGAGTGGCATCATGACGATGCATGCCACCCACCTCCGCCGCCGACTCCTCCACCCCAATCCTACAATGCCACTGCCACTGCCAATGCCAATGTCGAAGATTTTCCATCCATAGATGTGAATAGCAATGAGCTAAACATTTCACACCCACCTGAACACGCCTCCTTAGCCACGCCCAATGCCACGCCCACGCCCAATGCCACGCCCTCGCCCACGCCCACGCCACATCATTCCGTGCATAGTCAGACAGTAGAAAAAGCGACAAACCACCAACAAGAACATGAAGTTGCAGCCACAGCGCCGCCTGAGGTAAAGGCAATCAATCCAATCCCGGTCTGAAAACTACACAGAAAAAATGGGCTTTTCGCTTCGATTCATATTCACTAATTCAAAACAAATAAACTTGTATTTGCTTTATTGATATATCCATAATAATGGATTTTTCTGGAATTCGATTTACAAAAATGTAAAAACAGTTAGATATTAGATATTAACGATCCTTACTTCAATACTTTAATTTCTATAAGGTTTTACCTTGAACAATTTTGTACATCATTAAAGTCTAAAATTACCAAGAAACTTAGGAAAAACCAAATTGTTACTAACCTTTTACACGCTTAGTAACAATCCGTTAGTATTTTTCTTTATTTTTATTCAATACTTCTAATTCTATAAGGTTTTACCTTGTAAACTCAATTAATACATCAAACAAATAAACAATTTTTTAATTGCATTAAAGTCTAAAATTCCGAAAAAAGTTATAAAAACGAAATTGTAAATTGAAATTATAAAAGCTAAACTAAAATTTTGGTCGTTAGAATATCTAATTCGAAATTATACTTTTTTTCTGTGTAGCAGGCCCAATCTCAAACTCCCAAACTACCAGCATCGGATAGTGGTGTGCAAGTGTACAAGTGCTAGTGCAAGTGATAGTGATATTGTAATGCCCCAGTTTTCGTCTAGTCACTGTTTTGCATACGAATTGTCATTGTCATCGTCATTGTCCTTCGGTCATCGTTCATTGTTCCTCATGGTCCTTGGTCCTTGGTTAATGGTTCAACGTTGTGTTTGTGGCCTGGATAAGGGCATTTGTTGATTTATTATTAGGTGGCCTGGCACCTGGTCAAGCATAAATGTAAATGGAAAATGGAGAGCTCACTCCCCATTAGACCATCATCATCATCATCATCATCTTGAGACGCAGAAGCAGGCACTTCATCCTCGTGTTGCATGTGCTCAGTTCAGCCATCTCCCACCATTCCACCCACTTTCACATAGTAATCTGCCAGAGAGTTGCTGGGACACGAGTTGCAAACGTAAGCGGTTGCAGTGCAACGCGTCGCATACTTGATTTATGCGTTGAGTAGCACTCTGTTGTCATATTAATCATACGCCCCGTGCACAGTAACTAACATCTCAATGTTGTCAACCGTTCGTCTGCGTACTAGTACTAATAAATGTTTAACTCGTAGTGCATGAAGTACCCGAAACACCAACACCTATATTTACCCCCCACCCTTAGTAAAATCATCTGTCTTAGTAAAATCAGGTTTTAATAAATCCAATTTGCATACTTTCAGGCGGGTCTGGCTGGTGCTCTGTCTCAGCTGCGCATCGGTCAGCAACGCACTCCCGAACAGGAGGACTACGAGAACCAGATGCGCCGCCAGTGCTGGGAGTCTGGACAGATCGACTACTCCGGTGCCGATTCCTTCGACAACATCTGGAAGAAGATCTCGCAGACGCTGGACAAGAAGACCGAGAAGGAGACCGAAGAAACTGGTAGCTCATAGATAAAAAACCGAAACTAAACAAAAAACAAAACAAGCAAGCCAGAACAAACAAATGCAAAACGTTCGATTTTCGTCGTTTTGTTGCCATTTTTTGTTAAACACGCACACACTCAGCACCCTCCCCCAACCCTTTTCATTAGAAAAAGAAAACGCACACACAGACCAGACTCATACACAATTGTAATTTCCATTTGGGAGGCAGACGAACTGATGCCAATGTCAAGGAGCCCCCGGTCTAATTGAGATTTAAGGTTCAGCCCAAAATGTTGTCGAAACGAATTCTTCAGAGTGACATAAATGCAATTTTTATTTGAACCCCCTACCCCCCACACATACATCTTGTTAAGAAAAAAGCGAGAGAGAGAGAAGTAAAAAAAAAACGAACGCACAGAAATTTTAATTAAGTTTTCAAATTAAACTTTTTGCACTGCTGCTGCTGCTCTCGACAAACGTGATGTGTTGCGAAGCGATGTGTGTGTGTGGGCGACACACTTGGCACAGTTGCCCCAATCTCTCGTCCCGAAACCCCTGCCCCAAAAGAACACTTGGCCCGGCCACAAACTTTTACACTTCATTGTATTTTAATTGAAAATTTTGTACTTTCGCCCTCTCGTGTGTTTACCGATTTATAGCGATGACTTTTTAGCTCATCTGCATCGAAATTCATTGTGGCATAAAGTCCATTCCCTGCCCTTTCCCCACTTTACCCCACATATGTACATATGTTCTTCCCTATGAATAAAAACCAAACAATGAGTGTATACAATAACTCTAGAAAAGATAAACGAAAACCATTTAAAATAAAGTAAAAATCAAAACTGAAATTGTAGCCAACATTTTATGTGGCTATTGTGTATATGTTTCTGTCTGTGTGTGAGTGTGTGTGTGTGAAACTGTCCCGCCCCTTTTTGCGCCCACTCTTCGGATCGAATTCGAACTGAGCGTTAAGTGTTTTGTTTCAATTGTTTTGGCAGCCTAACTTTTCTATCTATATACGTATATACCATTTATGTTATAATTTACTATTTGCAAATATTGTCTTAATATTTATTCGAGAACAACAAGAACAAAGAAACCCCCAACAACAAGAACAAGAACAACACAAACAAATTTTCAATTTAAGAAACTCTGGTTTTAAATGTGCATTTTTATTTTAGCCCTAAGTTGCGTTCTTCTCCCACGTTTGTCGCCTTTTCAGTTGTGTACTTTTAAGCCATCTTAGCCATGGGAAGCATCGGGTCTAAGCCAGAGGTCTTAGAACCATCACGTAGCCATAAGAGCCAGCACCATTCACCCATCGCATCTCAGTCACCACCAATCACCACCAGCATCCCAGACGATGTAGCTGAAATCGAATTAAAACTACTGTCTCGTTACCCCCAACCACATTTGCAGATAATGATAACGATAGTGACCCTCCTGCTAACCCACTAAGCTATGAACAATTGCTAAACGAAACCGCCAGTAAACTGCTGCATCCGCCCGAGAAATCCACACCTTCGGAGGCGATGAAAACGAAATCGGCTCACACTAACAACGGGAATGGGAATGGCAATGGCAATGGGAACGGGCAGCACCATCTTGACCAGCCACGCCCCTCTGCCCGCCCAAAGGCCACAACTAACAAAATGCCGGCTAACGCTTCAGCTCCTTCCGCCGCCTCCTTAAAGCAGAATCCACAGATGCGACAGGAGAAACCGAACCCCCAACCGGAACCGGAACCGCAACCACAACCGCAGGCAGCACAGCACATTACGCTGCCGGCTGGAAGCGGAAACGTCTCCAAGAACAGCAAACAGAGGTCCGCCCGCAAGTTCAAATAGCAATTAATGAAGCTGCTGATGCACTACAGCTGCCTGCCACACCTGGCGTGTCGCCCCAAGTCGCATTACCGGCGGCTGGAACCGAATGTGGATACCGAACCCCAACCCGTGCACGTCTAACCCGGCGATTGATTGACAAATCCAAGAAAGTACAAAGCGTATGCAACGACGAATGCTGTAAAAATTGCTAGCTAAGCGGCTCTTAGACGATGTTTTTACGAGGGTAATAAGAATTGCAGTTATCAAAATATTCGATACAACGAACCAAAATTCAAATTTCAAAGGCTTTGAATAAAAGTAAATATGTTGAAATTTTATATTTAACATTTTTGTAGGAGTGTTGGTAGGAAAAGCAATACTAATTTTGATGACTCTTATATATAATAGTAATTGTACATTTGTGAACAGAAAAAAAACGTTTAAACTAATTTGTTTTATGAAAGAAAGCATATATTAGGCCTATAAAACTAAACTTAAATTATAAATTGCTTTGAGTCTTCAGATATCGATGTTTAAATTAGGTAGACAAAATTAAGAAATTATTAATTACTAAATGTGTTTATTGGCTTATTTTTCTACAAGCTATATAAATAGGGGAAATAATATTCATATGCTTACGACTTGCTTGAAATCGTCTAAGAGCCACTTGATTAACCCGAATGCCAGGCTGCCTTACGGAGTAAACCCATGCAATATCGTAGACTTAGCGTAGGATAAGACAAAAGCTAATACTAGACATAAGCCGCAAGTGCTTTGGATAACACTAGATGCAAACACACACTCAAGAGCTTGGGATGGTCGCAATACACAGCCTTATATTCCGAATACTATACACACATGCATCCACACACCACAGAGCTTCTGACCTCCGCGGACATCGAAGATGGTAAGGTGGAGTTCGACAAGGCCACGGGAGCCAGCACCAAGTACAAGCTCATCGAGGGTGGCTACGAGGTGATCACCACCACCCCCCAGCCCAATGGAACCGTCAAGACCCAGGTGCGAACCTTCTGGGACCCCAAGCCCGTTAGCGAGGAGGATCTGAAGAAGGAGCAGCAGAACAAGAAGCTGGTCCAGAAGCGCCTCGGAAAGGAGATCCGCATCGATGAGCGCACCACCATGCTGACCCGCGCCATCGAGGGTGGTTACGAGGAGGTGTACACCACGATCAACGAGGATGGAACCCGCAGCACGCGCACCAAGACCTTCTTCGACTCGGTTCCCACGGAGGTCGACGAGAACACCGCCGCCAAGTTGAACAAGAACAAGAAGAACGTGACCAGGAAGTCGTCGGTGGACTCCACCGATTCCACGGAGTCATCTCGCCGCATCGTCCAGAAGCAGCAGAAGAACGTGGTGCAGAACTACCAGGACCAGCAGTCCAACACCACCACCACCTCGGAGCGAAGGGTGTCCGTGACTCAGAACATCGAGATCACCGAGAACAATCGCACTGTGCGCAAGAACTCGCTGCAGGAGCAGAATGTCAAGGCCATCACTTCCACCTCAAACACCTCAACCACCGACAGTGGCAAGAAGCTGAAGAAGAAGCCCAAGTCTTCGGCCCCACCACCACCTGCCGACTTCTTCCAGAACGACACCACCTCTGTGGCCTCAAAGCGAGTGCCCGGCGGAGTGGAGTACACCTACTCCACGGAACTGGAGTCCGGCAAGACCATCACCACCTCGAAGACCGTCTACGAGGAGGAGGAGGTGGAGCTCACCGAAGAGGAGATTCGGCAGTACAAGAAGACCCTGAAGGACGCCGAGAAGCTCAAGAACGTGACCACCACCAAGAAGCTCAAGTCCGAGTCGGGCACCAAGAAGATCGTGCCCTCCGAGAACCCCGGGGATGTGACCACTGTGGAGACCATCAAGATCGAAGGCGGCACCGAGTACCACTACACCACCGTGACAGCCGAGGGCATCGTGAAGAAGGCCGTTAAAACCGTGTTCGATCCCGTGCCCACCAGCAAGGTCAATCCCGATGACACCGATGAGGAGGAGATCATCGAGGAGTACGAGGAAGAGATCATCGAGCCCGGCGAGAAGAACGTCAAAACCATCGAGACGATCAAGCAACTGCCCACCAAGTTCGAGGGTGAGCATATTGCAACCCATTTTACTATTAACTAGTTCCTACTTATTCTACTTATTCCACTAATTCATATCCCCATCTCATTGATCATTCTTTCACAGAGGAAGTCACCATCACCCATGAGAGGAAGGAGAAGAAGGTAAAGAAGTCCATGGTCATAAGCCAGTAGAGATCGCCGCACACCCACACTGAAACACACCTAAACACACACGACAATCACACAACACAAGGCACATCAAACACAAACAAGCTTAAGCAAAGGCCCGAAGACACCAGAAAGGCCCTGCGAAGATCCCAAGCTAATTCTCCTGACCTATTTCAGCATCCAGTTCAGTTAGTTGTGAGCGGTCTTTGCACGCTACTCGTTAGCTTTGTTATCAATTACCAGCTGTCTAGTGCCCTAGAAATGTATTACCAAATTATCCAAAATTTATTGCAAAAAACAATCTAACATAATTGTATCCTCTTTTGTTAACAAAAATAAAAAAACAAGTTTTGGTTCTAATTCCTCTTGGTCTTCTTCTTTGGAGTACCCCTTGATTTGGAACTCCTTCGGCAGATGGAGATCAGAGCCAGAATTGGCAGGAGAACGAGAGCTAGAGCCAGGCCAACAATGTCCAGCAGGTAGAACTGGTACCAGGGCAGTTCCACGCCAGCAGACACAATGTGGGGAGCTCCTCTGTGCTCGATCACATAGTTTATCCAGTACATCGCCGTGTCCATGGCGCTCAGGGGTCGATCGCGGAACACCCGAGAAGCCTTCTTCACGTTGTTCCTGAACTTGGGATTCTCAATCAGTTCAAGCAGCATTCCTCGCAGCTCTTCCACCGTGACTGTCCGGTAATCAAGGCCCAAGGCATAGCCCGCCTTCTTGCCCTGATTGATGTTCAGATGCTGATCACAGTAGACGGGCATGCCCAGCACCGGAATCGCATGGTACACCGCCTCCTGGGTGCCAAAGAGCCCTCCATGAGCAATGAACACCTTAACATTGGGATGGGCCAGGATGTCGCCCTGAGGCATCCAATTCTGCACCTTCACATTGGCCGGCAGATTGGGCAGAGTTTCATCCTCGAACTTCCACAGAACGCGCTGCTTCAGACTGCCAAAGACCTCTAGGAAAATCTTTAACTTTTCGGGCGGGAGATCGGCACTGCGCACCTGGGAGCCTATAGAAATCTCCCGTTTTTACGTGATTTGATTTAGGAGAATAATGTATGCACACTCACCCAAGCTGAAATAAATGGCTCCATGGGTAGCCCTATCCAGGAACTTCTGAAGGTGCTCGGGTAGCCCCTTCGGCGGCTGAATGTGCAATCCGCCCACGGGGATCATATTATAGGCCATGGGTCTGGGCGAAGCCAGTGGCATGTAGGTGTTCAATAGTATAGCCGAGATGTTCCGCTCCAGTTCCTTTACAGTTGGGACTCTATCAAGCATTTTGGAGAAGTGTTTCTTTAGGATGGCATCCTGTGCGGGATAGTATGAGAACTCCCTGGTGAGATCCTCGACTGCACTGATAGCCACATTTTCTATTCGCTCCCACAGCGTCATACGATCTGTGAAAGGCATATATGCATGTGGGACGTACGACCAAGGGGATACTATTCCAAATAACTGACTAAAATAGTTGCCAAAGCCAAAAGTCGAGACGGTAATAATGGGAATCTGGTACAGGTGTCCAAGGATGAGGGCACCCTCGTTAAAGAACTGTTCCGCCAGTAGGAGATCAAACCTTCCGACCTTATTCTTCTCATTGATAACGGCCTGAACTTGTGGCTGCTCGAACGCAAAGTCCGTGCTGTGCACACCCATCATATTGGGAATTCGCAGGAAGGTAAGTGTTGACAAGTCGGCCATCTCCAAAATGCTGTTGGTATTGGTCATCTCCTTAACTGAGGGACTGAGTATTATAAATGTGTATATTTTGTTCTGCAGCTTAACCTACTATCAGGCCAGAAGTCGTATTGTGGTATCAAAATTTCCTTGTAGTTCGTTCCCAGATTTTCCTTTGCCAAGGAGAACGCAGTGATGAAAGTTACTTCATGTCCTTGTTTTACCAGCTCCTGGATTATGGCCTTGGTCATCATAAAGTGGCTTTTCCCAGGATAAAAGAAGGCGGCCAGGATGCGGGAGCTGGTACCAAAGTCTAGTTGCTGAAGTGCCACCAGGCTCAAGAGGAATATGTGTAGAGCACTTCTAAGTTGCTGTAAAATATGAATGTAAAGATGGGTTATTGAACTTGTTATTCGATGTATTGACTTTTAGCTGAAAACTGATATGCGGTGATAAAAAGTTGTTTATTATATAAAAGTTGTTTATTTATATTAAAAAACAAGAGAGAACGCTATAGTCGGGTGCCCCGAATATCAGATATCCGTTACTCAGGTAAAGGGAGTGCGAGGGAGATGGAGATAGAAACTTTGACCACGCATAACTTTTTAACGAATGGTCCGATTTGAAAAATTTCTTCTACATTTCGATAGGTATTGATAAGCACAATAAAACTGCATTTTTACTTTTCCGAAATATTTAAATTTTTAAAATCGTATATAAGCGATTGTGGGCGTTAAAGGGGGCGTGGTACCAGTTTGAAACAAACTTGCGCCGCGTAGGAACTCCTAGAATCTGCATGCAAAATGCCAATCTTCTAGCTTTTATAGTTTCCGAGATCTCAGCGTTCATACGGACAGACTGACGGACAGACAGACGGACAGACAGACGGACAGACGGACATGGCTATATCGACTTGGCTAGTGACCCTGATCAAGAATATATATACTTTATAGGGTCGGAAACGCTTCCTTCTAGCTGTTACATACTTTTGCACGAATACAATATACCCTTTTACTCTACGAGTAACGGATATAATAAAAGATTTTCCTTCATTTCATTGACCTCTAAGGGAAATTCTTTGCCTTCATAGTGGCTTAAAAAGATTTTAGACACTTATCCAATTTTTTTACAACGTCAACAAACCATTTTTATTGTGTTTTTGCTCTACGATAGGAAGAACTAACAACCGACTCGGCGTACGACTCTCAAACGAATGCGATTAGGTACTGACAAACTTTCTTTGTAGATCTGTAGGTGGCATATCTACGTCATAGACTCTTTAAGAAACCGAGTAGCTGTGATTCTGTGTCTTCGCTATAATCTATTAAAATCCACCAAGTTGTAGGTAAAGTAAAGAGACCTAATATTGTTTTATGTTATAAACTATTAGGAACATTTATTTGTTTTGTCTAGTGCCAGACGAGTTGATATGGGCACATTCGTCAGTTATTGATTATCACTATAAAATCACGAGCCGACTGTTATGCCTTATAGCCTCCATAGGAATGGTAGCTTTTTAATCTATAATAGCATCGACATGTGCGAGTTTTATTTAAAGTAATACTCTTATATTGGTTATTTAACACCAATGTACATTTTTAATTTGGAAAATAATTTTAGGTAAGCACTTCTCCTCAAATACTGATTAAGTTCAGACCCCTCAAGGAAAATTAGCTAAAGTTGTTGGTCCAAAAATAGGCTAAAAACATTTTAAAAGCTGAAACGATTCATAAAATTTTGTTTACATTTAAACAATATTTTTAGCTTGTTCTGGTCATACACTTTTTATAACTAATAGATTCTTCCGAATATGTTAGGCATAGACTTTCCATGTATAGAAACTTAATAAGTAACTAAATAAAAAACCAAGAATTTTTCTCACTTTTTATAAGGAAATTATTTTTACTAACATTTCTTTAACTTGATTGTTACACTCTGTTTACCAAAAAACCATGAAATATAAATTCTAAACGTGTGCTTAAGCAAAGCCATTGAAAAAATTAATTCTTCTTAGCTTTTCTGTGCTTTTTATTACTGCCCATCAGCAATCTAATGGCGAGTGCCAGGGCGAGGATTCCAGTCAAAGCAATGACGCCCACAAAGGCTATCACGTCGAGCAGATAGAACTGAAACCAGTTGAGATCCAGGCCTGCGGATCGCAAATGGGGAGCTCCTCGATGCCGGATGACATATTCGATCCAATAGACGGCACTTTTGCGGGGCTCCTGAGGACGATCCCGAAATATGTCCGAGACTCTCTGCACGTTCTCCTTATAGGTAGAATTATGGATGAGTTGGAGCAAGGAGTGTCGGAGGATCTCATCGGTAATCGACTGGAAGTGCAGACTTATGGCATAGCCATCCAAGACGGCTTTATTCATGTTTAGGTGCTGAAATAAGCAAGTAAATAATAATAAGAATAGGTGCTGCGACCAGATTCCGATAAGATAACGTTATCACCTACCTGATCGCAGTAGATGGGAATGCCCAGCATAGGCACGGCGTAGTGCACTCCCTCCTGGGTGCCAAACAATCCGCCGTGGGTGATGAAAACCTTTACGTTCCGATGGGCCAGAATGTCTGACTGCGGCAGCCACTTCCTCACCATCACATTTTCCGGCAACTGGCGAATGCTCTCGTCCTCGAATTTCCACAGCACCCGTTGCTTAAGGGAACCGAATACCTGCAGGAACATCTGCAGCATCTCCCTTGGCATATCCTTGCTCTGGACATTGCTGCCCAGGCTGAAGAAGATGGCTCCCTCGGTGGCCCCATCCAGGAACGCTTGCATGTCCGGTGGGAGAGCTTTGGGCGGATAGATGTGCATGCCGCCCACTGGCACCATGGCATCCACCGTGGGACGTGCCGTGGTCAGCGGTGCGTGACTGTTTAGCAGCATCACCGAGATTTCCCGCTCCATGTGCTTGACCTTTGGCACCTCATCTAGAATTTTCTTATCTTAGGTGGGTTCTCCAGCTACGTTTTTCGGAACTTACCCAAAACGGGGCCAAAGAACTCCTCGGTCACCGCATCCATTTTGGGAAAATAGTTTAGCAACCGGTCCATATCGTCATAGAAGGATTCATAGGAATTCTGCACCCGTTCCAGGAAAGTCATTCGATCGGTGAAGGGCATAAAACCGTGCGGCACGAAAGACCAAGGGGTGATCACTCCCATCATCTGGCTCATGTGATTCTCGTAGCCCAGCGTACTCGTGGTCACCACTGGAATCTTGTAGATATGAGCCAGGGCTAGGAAGGCCTCCTGATAGAACTGCTCGGCCAGGAGGAGATCAAAGACCCCGTCGGTCTGCTTAGCACGAATGAGGGCTTGAACTTTGGGCTGCCGTAAAGCATGTTCCGTGGTTTTTATGCCGATAATCTCCAGCATTTTTAAAAAGTCATAGTTGTTCATGCGGGTCAGCTCAAACAAATGCTGGGCTCCGAAGTTCAGCTTAACTGGTGTCAAACGATTAAGATGTTTAATTATTTGGCAGATGTTTCATAAACACGCCACACTCACCATCGTGCCAAAAATCATAGACCGGTTCTATCAAGATCTCTGTGTAGTTGCTGCCAAGCTGTTCTTTCTCCAGAGAAAGAGCTGTTATCATGGTCACCTGATGGCCACTTTCGACGAGTTCTCTCACCAAAGCTGTGTGCATCATATAATGCGATTTGCCTGACCAAAAATGTAAGTGATCAGAATGCTATATACTATATATCGGCTTCCAAATACAATACCTGGAAAGGCGTACACAGCAAGTATTTTAGAGCCCTCAGCTAATTTTTGATGGGAATACAAGTTTCCAGCAAGGAGTAGATACAAAATTAATACGTATTGCATCCTTGCACGTTTAACTGAAAATGTGAAATAAAAGTTTCCTTATTATCCAATGGTTTTATTTAAGGCAAGTATCTTTTCTTCTGTTCTTGGCAACAAACTGTTTGCAGTTATGTTTGTAATAGGTGCGCTACTCTTGAGATTATAAAACTGACTTCCCCATTCTAGCTCGGCTCAAAGTTCATGTAGCTAACAATTAGGATTAATTTACGGAAACAAAATATTCAAAACAAAATGTATATTTAAGATTGTGAAATACAAAATGCTTACTTTTGATAAGGCTATTAATGTATAAATAGTTTCGTATAGCATCTAAAACACGTAATCAGTGTTTACAGTATACGCGTCGTTGATATAATAAAACAATTTAATTGATGTTCGCGTGCCTGACAAGCTTGCCACTTGTATCGCGGAAATAAGAGATGCTTCTATTCGAACCTCTGAATGAATACTGATCTTGAGCTGTAGTTCGATAATAGTTTTAACTGCGCTACAATACTGAAAATAAGGCCCCTGTGAAATTCCATCGAATTGTCAAAGAACAATGAAAGCACGCTTTCTACATAAGCTTTCTTAATCGTTTTATTTTCTTTATACCCTTGCAGAGGGTATTATAATTTCAGTCAAAAGTTTGCAATGCCGTGAAGGAGACATTTCCGACCCTATAAAGTATATATATTCTTGATTGCATTATCAGGAGAGTCGATCTAGCTATGTCCGTCTGTCCGTTCGTCCGTTTCTACGCAAACTAGTCCCTCAGTTTAAAGCTATCTGCTTCAAACTTTTCCAAAAATTGTCTTTCTATTGCAGGTAGTATATAAGTCAGAACGCCGGATCGGGCGACTATATCATATAGCTCCCATAGGAACAATAGGAAAAAAAAATGCAGCGCAAAATCGAAATAGCTTCATTGTTTTTAGTAATATAGGCATAGAAATCAAAATGTAGTCGATTTGTAATAACTGCAAGGGTATATAAAATTCGGCTTGCCGAAGTTTGCTTCATTTCTTGTTTTTTAAATGTATTTGCCAAAAACTTGAGGTACATTCTTATTAATTTTTTTTTTAAAGTAATTAATCTAGGCCTTAGAGCTAAAAAGATTGGTAGTACGAAAAGGAGATAGCAAGCCCGGCGGGAAGAACGTCAAGACCGACCACACGATCAAACAACTGCCTACCAAGTACAAGAGGAAAATGACGGCCGCGAACTTGCGATAGGAATTAACAGCGCCAAATTGACTTTATTGTATTCGTTGGAAAGTACGTATCAGGTAGAAGGAAGAGTTTCCGACCCCATAAAGTATATATATTCTTGATCAGGATCAATAGGGGAGTCTATACATGGCTATACATGCCCGTCTGTTTAGAAGCTAGCGATCTGAAACTTTCACAGTCGTCCTAAAGATCAAGTTTGAAAACCGATCGGACGCCTATATTATTTACCTCCCATATGAAATCGGTTAAAATTTAATGTTTTTCAGGATATTTCGCGCAGTATAAAAGCTATTGAGATAAATCTTTCCAAATCGTATTTTTATACCCGTTACTCGTAGAGTAAAAGGGTATATTGTATTCGTGCAAAAGTATGTAACAGCTAGAAGGAAGCGTTTCCGACCCTATAAAGTATATATATTCTTGATCAGGATCACTAGCCGAGTCGATTTAGCCATGTCCGTCTGTCCGTCTGTCTGTCTGTCCGTATGAACGCTGAGATCTCGGAAACTATAAAAGCTAGAAGATTGGCATTTTGCATGCAGATTCTAGGAGTTTCTACGCAGCGCAGGTTTGTTTCAAAAAGGTACCACGCCCCCTTTAACGCCCACAATCGCTTATATACGATTTTAAATATTTAAATATTTCGGAAAAGTAAAAATGCAGTTTTATTGTGCTTATCAATACCTATCGTAATGTAGAAGAAATTTTTCAAATCGGACCATTCGTTAAAAAGATATGCGTGATCAAAGATTCTATCTCCATCTCCCTCGCACTCCCTTTACCTGAGTAACGGGTATCTGATAGTCGGGGCACCCGACTATAGCGTTCTCTCTTGTTATACCCTTGCAGAGGGTATTATAATTTTGGTCAAAAGTGTGCAACGCAGTGAAGGAGACATCTCCGACCCTATAAAGTATATATATTCTTGATCAGGATCACCCCTGAGTTGATATAAGCATGTCCGTCTGTCCGTCTGTCTGTTTCTTCGCAAACTAGTCTCTCAGTTTTAAAGATATCGAATTGAAACTTTGCACACACCTTTCTTTCCTTTGCACGCAGTATATAAGTCGGAACGGCTATATCCTATAGCTGACATATAACTGATTGATCGGAAATGCCATAACTTTGGTTTTTGTTAAGTTAGGAAGTCTGCAAGGGTATAGCAAAGAATTCTTCTCACTTTTCATAAAGAAATTATTTTTACTAACATTTCTTTAACTTGATTGTTACACTCTGTTTACCAAATAACCATCAATTATAAATTCTAAAGGTGAGTTTAATTAAAGCCTTTGAAAAAATTAATTCTTCTTAGCTTTTCTGTGTTTTTATACCCGTTACTCGTAGAGTAAAAGGGTATATTGTATTCGTGCAAAAGTATGTAACAGCTAGAAGGAAGCGTTTCCGACCCTATAAAGTATATATATTCTTGATCAGGGTCACTAGCCGAGTCGATATAGCCATGTCCGTCTGTCCGTCTGTCTGTCCGTCTGTCTGTCTGTCCGTATTTTGCATGTAGATTTTAGGAGTTCCTACGCAGCGCAAGTTGGTTTCAAAAAGGTGCCACGCCCCCTTTAACGCCCACAATCGCTTATATACGATTTTAAAAATTTAAATATTTCGGAAAAGTAACAATGCAGTTTTATTGTGTTTATCAATACCTATCGAAATGTAGAAGAAATTTTTCAAATCGGACCATTCGTTAAAAAGTTATGCGTGATCAAAGTTTCTATCTCCATCTCCCTCGCACTCCCTTTACCTGAGTAACGGGTATCTGATAGTCGGGGCACCCGACTATAGCGTTCTCTCTTGTTTATTACTGCCCATCAGCAATCTAATGGCGAGTGCCAGGGCGAGGATTCCAGTCAAAGCAATGACGCCCACAAAGGCTATCACGTCGAGCAGATAGAACTGAAACCAGTTGAGATCCAGGCCTGCGGATCGCAAATGGGGAGCTCCTCGATGCCGGATGTCATATTCGATCCAGTAGACGGCACTTTTGCGGGGCTCCTGCGGACGATCCCTAAATATGTCCGAGACTCTCTGCACGTTCTCCTTATAGGTAGAATTATGGATGAGTTGGAGCAAGGAGTGTCGGAGGATCTCATCGGTAATCGACTGGAAGTGCAGACTTATGGCATAGCCATCCAAGACGGCTTTATTCATGTTTAGGTGCTGAAATAAGCAAGTAAATAATAATAAGTATAGGTGCTGCGACTAGATTCCGATAAGATAACGTTATCACCTACCTGATCGCAGTAGATGGGAATGCCCAGCATAGGCACGGCGTAGTGCACTCCCTCCTGGGTGCCAAACAATCCGCCGTGGGTGATGAAAACCTTTACGTTCCGATGGGCCAGAATGTCTGACTGCGGCAGCCACTTCCTCACCATCACATTTTCCGGCATCTGGCGAATGCTCTCGTCCTCGAATTTCCACAGCACCCGTTGCTTGAGGGAACCGAATACCTGCAGGAACATCTGCAGCATCTCCACTGGCATATCCTTGCTCTGGACATTGCTGCCCAGGCTGAAGAAGATGGCTCCCTCGGTGGCCCCATCCAGGAACGCTTGCATGTCCGGTGGGAGAGCTTTGGGCGGATAGATGTGCATGCCGCCCACTGGCACCATGGCATCCACCGTGGGACGTGCCGTGGTCAGCGGTGCGTGACTGTTTAGCAGCATCACCGAGATTTCCCGCTCCATGTGCTTGACCTTTGGCACCTCATCTAGAATTTTCTTATCTTAGGTGGGTTCTCCAGCTACGTTTTTCGGAACTTACCCAAAACGGGGCCAAAGAACTCCTCGGTCACCGCATCCATTTTGGGAAAATAGTTTAGCAACCGGTCCATATCGTCATAGAAGGATTCATAGGAATTCTGCACCCGTTCCAGGAAAGTCATTCGATCGGTGAAGGGCATAAAACCGTGCGGCACGAAAGACCAAGGGGTGATCACTCCCATCATCTGGCTCATGTGATTCTCGTAGCCCAGCGTACTCGTGGTCACCACTGGAATCTTGTAGATATGAGCCAGGGCTAGGAAAGCCTCCTGATAGAACTGCTCGGCCAGGAGGAGATCAAAGACCCCGTCGGTCTGCTTAGCACGAATGAGGGCTTGAACTTTGGGCTGCCGTAAAGCATGTTCCGTGGTTTTTATGCCGATAATCTCCAGCATTTTTAAAAAGTCATAGTTGGTCATGCGGGTCAGCTCAAACAAGTGCTGGACTCCGAAGTTCAGCTTAACTGGTGTCAAACGATTAAGATGTTTAATTATTTGGCAGATGTTTCATAAACACGCCACACTCACCATCGTGCCAATAATCATAGACCGGTTCTATCAAGATCTCCGTGAGTTGCTACCAAGCTGTTCTTTCTCCAGAGAAAGAGCTGTTATCATGGTCACCTGATGGCCACTTTCGACGAGTTCCCTCACTAAGGCTTTGTGCATCATATAATGCGATTTGCCTAACCAAAATTGTAAGTGATCAGAATGCGATACGCACATATTTCGGATTCCAAATACAATACCTGGATAGGCGTACACAGCTAGTATTTTAGAGCCCTCAGCTTATTTTTGCTGGGAATACAAATTTGCAGCCAGGAGTAGATAACAAATGAGTAGGAATTGCATCCTTGCACGATTAACTATAAATATGAAATATAATTAATTCCTTAAGTAATAATTCCTTATTATCCAATTTTTTTTCAAATCTTCTTCTGTCCTTGGCAACAAACTGTTTGCAATTTTGCTTGTGTTACTATTGAGATTCCCCATTCTAGCCAGCTGAAAAACATAAAAGCTAGTTTTGTTCGATTTGGAGCTGCTAGCTCGGCTCAAAGTTCATGTAGCTAACAATTAGGATTCATTTACTGAAACAAAATAGTCAAAACAAAATGATTATTTAGATCGACAACTGGAAATAGCTTGCAGTGTATTTAAGATTGTGAAATGCTTACTTTTGATAAGGCTATTAATGTTCAAATAGTTTCGTATAGCATCTGAAACACGTAATCAGCATTTCAGTATACGCGTTGTTGTTATAATAAAACAATTTAATTGATGTTCGCGTGCCTGGAAAGCTTGCCACTTGCATTGCGGAAATAAGAGATGTTTCTATTTGAACCTCTGAATGAAAACTGACTTGAGATGTAGTTCGATGATAGTTTTAACTGAGCTACAATACTGATAATAATATTTATTGGGGCCTGTGAAATTTCATCGAATTGCCAAAAAAACAATGAAAGC